AAAGGGGTAATTACTTTGAAAGAATTGGTTTTAGTTCAGGTTTTTGTGGGTGAAGAGAAAGAAGAGTAAAGAGGAGGTTGTCGTTGATCATTCTTCTTTTGATGACTAACCAAATTTTCCTTCTGTGTATCCTTGAAAAAGACTCTTAGTCCTGACCCATGCTATGTGTTTTGCATCGTGTGTTTAGAGATGTCTGGTATATAATATGTGCATAATAAATATTTGAATGAATCCATCTCCTCCAGATTTAGTGCAAAGCAATATCAATTTCAAGTTTTAGTGAGACTGCAATCCAGTGAAGTTGGGTGATATTTCCCTTCATGAGACTCTTATTTCTCTCTCTGCTTGGGGCTCTGACTGTAGCACATAAAAGGCATTGCTTCTTTGATTACACCTCTCTGCCCGTGTAATGTGGCCAATTATTTGTACATTTAGTCTTCCCAGAGTGCAGCAGTACTTAAAACCAGGCTTCCTTGGATAATGTCAGGACCTCTTAGGTTGACACCTCAAAATGTCTTAATGGTTTTTTAAAAATCCATCATGTTTAAGCTATCCAAACATAAGTAGAACTTACAAGAATATTCATGAAGTGCTGTGGGCTAAGACTAGAACACAGACCGTTTCAAAAACAAGTGATTGAATTGTGCTGGGTGACGTATTTCATGATGTATTAGAAACACTGGCCTGTTACTTTTGTCTGAGACCTACAAAAACAGTTTATCTTTCATCTTGGCTTGGCTGTCATGCTCTCCTCAGTCTTAAAAGCTCTGTAATTTATAATTGTCCATAAATCCAGGTGGTATTTAGCCAGTACTGAAGTTGGTTAAAAACCATATCAAAATGAGTGTGCACCAGAGTGATTGTATGAAGTACTGTATTCCTGCTCAGCAGAGCGCTGGAAATAATAAACAGTAGATTTCTTGGCATTGAGATTTACCTTCTGGACCTCTTTGAAAGGGAAGAGAAAGCTAACTTTGTCTTTTTGGGAGCGGCTGAGGGGAGGGTGGTAATGATGCTGAGCCTTGAAAAGAAAAATCTAATCCTCCCTAATTTATTCCCTACATCCTAGTCAGCCTTCAGTAATCTGTACTTTAAAGCCTCGGTCAATTTCTTGTTTATCTCTTCATTCCTCATTGCTTCCAGGTTGAACGATAACATTTCTGACATCACCATCAGATCGGATGGCCACTTAAACAAAACTTGATGGCTGGGCCAGCTCCTTGGCCTGGAGGTTAAGGCAGGTGGATCCCACATGGCCAGCTGTGTGGTTCGAGTCCCAGACCGAACAGCTTGAAAAACAAGCTGGGAGCATGTGTGTGTATGACCAAAATTCAGAAAGGAGGGAGAGATGAAAGAGAAGGAATTGTGATGTGACCATTCCCCATGAGAGGTGCATTCTCCTCTCCCTCACTCTCTGTCTTTGGCAACCACACATACTCTCTAGCACCCAAAAACAAAAAATAAACCCCCACACACAAAAACTTGATGGTGAGGATGGTGGACAGTTTATAAAACAGGTTATATACTATATGAGCCCTTCCTATAGACTAGCGCTTCTCACACTTTATTGTCGCTGTGAACCAGATCTTGTTAAAAACCTGATTCTGGGAACCAGCAGATGGCATAATGGTTATTACACTGGACCCCCACATAGTTGACTGTGGTTTGAGTCCCAGACCTGGAGGCGTAAAACTCACATGGAGACGAGAATGGAGGAGAAGGGATTGTGCATGACCTTCCCTCCAGGAGGTGATTTCTCACTTTCTGTCTGTCTGTCTCTCTCTGTCTCTCTGGTGAATGTGCCCTATAGCAAAACTCTCTCCCAAAACAAAACAAACAAAAAAACCCTGATTCTGATTTAGTAGGTTTGGAATGGAGCTTGAGACTCTGCATTTCTCTTTGAGTTTCCAAGTGATGCCACTGCAAGTCCAGGGACCTCACTTTGTATAACACAACTTTAAAGCAGTGGTCTTTAACCCTCCCACGGGTCCTAGTCACCAGGGAAGTTTTCAGAAAACACAATATACTAGGACTCCTCTCCTTAGGGTCTCTGACTCAGTTGGTCTGGGGAGTCTTGTTTTTCAAAAGCCCCGAGCCCAGGAGTCTTGTTTCTCAAAAGCTTCCTTGGTGATCCTAACATGCCACTGAGATCGGAAAATCACTGCTTCCAAGAAGAAAAGAATTTTGACTTTGCCAGAGTGCCTGACTGGGTAGGCCTAGAAAAGATTCCTCATCATTATTTGAGACTCGGGATGTTCTTTAGTGCAGCTTGAGACCTATTGACTTTTCGTTGGCTCCAAACTCTCATTGAGTAAATTCAGACTTCTTGAAACTCGGCAGTTTCAGATGGCAGCATTGTTAATGTAGTTCTTTGGTTGTGGTCAGGAGCACAAGGATATTAGAGAGGATCTACTCTTCCACCTTCCTGATGTCTCACCCAGAAGTAGAAAAATACATGAGTTGGTATCAGTTATTCTCCATTTGGGTCAACATCAGAGAAGGAGTTAAATGTTATTTACATCAGTTGTATAGTTGCCAATGACATGGCCAGCATAGAATTTAAAGCAACCTTAGCGGACCGCAATCTAGTCATAGTGGAGAGACTCTCTATTCCAAAACGCTTACTGTGGAACAGCAGGTGGCATGGTGGTTAAGGCCCTAGATCCCACATGGCTGACTTGGTGGTTCAAATCGCAGACCTGATGGCCTGAAAAATATACCGGGTACATGTCTGTGCATGCCCAAAATCCCAAAAGGAGAATGGAGAAGGAATTGTGGCATGACCATCTGCTGTGGGAGGTGATTTCTCATTTTCTCTTTCTGTCTCTTTACAGCAAGCACATGTGCCCTCTAGCAAATTTTTAAAAAGAAAGGATATGCCTTGCTATTTCCTGTTGGTGAAATTTTAATAAACTAAATTTATAAGGCTTTTCTGCTTCAGGGTTAGTTTGAGTAGAGGTTTCTAATAGTTGCCCTTCTGTAATCATAAAATGGATTCTTAGAAAACTGGTAATGTTTTTCTGAAATACCTTCTTTGATGTTTGAGGTTTTCTGTTGGTCTGGGGAAAGTTCATTTATGCTTGTTGATCACATCAAATCTCAGATGCTAGCTGCTCATTGTATAGAGTGATGACGCAGGAGCCAGCAGTTGGCGTGGTGGTTAAGGGCACTGGATTTCCACGTGGCCGACTGTGGCTCGAGTCCCGGACCTGATGGCTTGCTTTCTCATTTTTCCCTTCCTTTCTCTCTGTCTCTCTCTGGTCAAATTAAAAAATAATAATAGTAACAAATGGAATTAAATAAATAATTCTTTTTAAAAATGATGATGTAAATGCCCAGGTGCATATTGGATTTGGTGGACTCCCGTTTCAGACCACTTGGAGAATCAATCATTTGACACCTAGTCCCAGTAGAAATTTTGCTGATTTTAGTTTTTGCCTTTGCACCTTTCTCTGCATGGCAGCTCTGAAGCTCAGAATTGATTTTTATTTCTAGAATTGCATCCATAATTGAGCATGTGTTTAAATACCAGTAGTTTCAAAATAAGACCAAAAAAGGCTGAAATTGTAAGTAATTAAGTAGTGCTGGTCACTAAGCCCCTTTGTAAATCCCATCCACAGAAAAGTTATGTAGGTTCCTTCACTATAGTCCTGTTTGTTTAAATAAAAAAAAAAAAAAGTCACAGGATTAGTATACCTAAAAGGCAACTGTGAGGGGCTAGACGACTCCCACACGGCCGACCATGGTTTGAGTCTTGAACCTGGTGGCTTGCATTCTTGCTCTCCCTCTCTCTCGTTGGTCAAATTGAAGAAAAATAAATAAATAAAATTAAAGAAATAAAATAACATAAATAGTTATTTAAAAAATAAATTAAAGGCAGCTGAGAAGTTTCCCCCCATCCTGTTTTTATACTCTTCTGAAGCAAATTTTGGAGACCAAGGTCTTTGCTGCTGTGAGGAGAAAGTAGCTTCTCCCTTGGGCCAGCCCCATGGCCTACTGGTTAACGGAGTCAGATCCCACATGGTCAGCTGTGATTCAGGTCCTGGTCCTGGTGACTTGTAAACATATCAGGTACATGTGCTTATGTGTCCAGCATCCCGACAGGAGGGAGAAATGGAGAAAGAATTGTGGCCTGGCCATGCCTACTTGGGAAGGTGCTCTGTCCCTCTCTGTCTCTCTCTGGCAAGCACACATACACCCGCTGGCAATTAAAAAGGAGGCAGGGATAGCCAGATGCCATGGTGGTTAAGGTGGCTAGATTTCATGTGGCTGCCTGCAGTTTGAGTCCCAGACCTGAGGGCTTGAAAAATACTCTGGGGAGTGTCCTTGCCTGCCCAGATTCCTGAGAGGAGAGTGGAGAAGAGATTGCAGCATGGCCATCCTCCTTGCGGGGGTGCTTTCTCATTTTCTTTTTCTCCCTCTCTTCTCCTGCTGGTGTTTGTACCCTATAGCTAAAAAGAAAAGAGTATCTCCTCCCTGATTTCTGTTAGGTTAGTACAAAGGTCAGAAATGGTCAGTGTCGCCCTCGCTGAAAAGAACTGTGGACCACTGTGTCAGGCGCTGCCAGCGTTACCCTTTTACTCCCGGGATAGCACAAAGAGCTGGAGTTTAGAAAAATGCCCCTGAAGCAGAAATCTCGTTTTAATCTGCATATTACAGAGGGTAAACTTTCTTGGGAAAAAGAAAAGAAGGCATTTGTAATACATCTTTAGATTGTGCTGACAACGATCCTGATACTGTTTGGGGTTACCTTTCACTAGGACCATGTTAGAGACCATCCTAAGGTCTTCCTAAAACTCTCCAGTGGTTTGAAGCTCTGCACTTGTTAAGTGAAGAATTTTGCCCTCGAGCTGTTGTATTTTATTTTATCTGCACGTCTCTCCTGCCCTGTTCCCTGAAAAGAGGGTCTAAGCCAGTCAGAATGTTTGCCACCGCCAGTCGTGCTCTGCCACCCTGTTGATTGTCTCCACCATTGATGCACGTCCTGTTGCTTGTTTCAGAAAGATTTCCGAGTACAGGAACTCCCACTGGCTCGTATTAAGAAGATTATGAAACTGGATGAAGATGTGAAGGTGAATTCACATTCATTTTTATTATTCATAATGGGTAGGTGATCGTTCATTTCTCTAGTGTGCAGAGTTTAATTAAACAACAACAAAATCACAACAATACTCTTATTGTTGGTTGCTTTTTTATTTGGTTCTTGTCTAAAATTACGTGAGTGGACATTGGACAGTTGTATTATATGGCACTTTTCTGGAAATGTTGAAAAGATGTAGGGTGTGTGTTTTTTGCAATCAAGTGATGTCACCCGGTTCTTTTCACCATTCATTGTCAACATATGTCACCAGTGCCATCATCTTCACATCTTATCGTAGTCTCTAGTTTTGGATCTGAGTTCTAAGAACTTTTTGCCATTAGTGTACCTGTCATAACATTTTGATCTGTGAGTTTGTTTTACATAGATTATAATTGCGAGAAGGTTTACTTAGGGTTGGCCATTTCTGTATTTCTAGAAATCTACCTCCTATTACAACTCTCAGGGAAGGATCACCTCTGTCTCTTTACCACTCAGAATTAATATTGTCTTGTACTTGCACAGAAAGCTAACTGGTTATAGCAATTTTCCATGTGATTAGCTCCTTTTCTCCTAATAATAACTCTGTGAGATTTGATAGGAGAAAAATCATTAGTTCCATTTTACAGATAAGGGAAAAGACACAAAGAAGTTAAGCCACTCGTCCAGAGTGATAGAACAGAGAATCCAATTCTTATTTCCTGTTTTTTTAATTCCTGTGGCTCTGTCCTGTAGAGACCACCTCCCTAAATTGGGTGTAAAGCCTTATGTGACCAAGAACTTAAACTTCAAAGTCACACACATTAAGGCAGCTTGTATTGTTTAAGCACTTGTTACTAAGTGCCAAATCCCATGCCAAGTACATGTGTGATCTCGTTTGATTCCCACAGCAAGTCTGGAAGGCTACCTTCTTTTTCAGTATTTGAAAAAGCCCTACAGGATGGGAAGCCTGAGATTTCATCTAAATCCATTGGCTCTCGAGTACATTATTTTTCCCCACATTGCCTTGCCTTAGGTTAGAACCTAAACCCCGCTGCTTACTGGCTCTCTATGGCTGTGGGCAAATCAAGTTACTTTGAGTCTCCTAAATCCTGTTCTCTTTGCAAGGCTATTTTGACGGCCTGGCACATGGCAGATGCTAGATAAGTATTCTTTCTGCCTCTTCCCTTTTCCCTCTTTCCTGCTTTGTTATGGATTTATTTTACCTTGGGACCTCTTGAGGCTGCCACCTTCTCAGTGTTTGATCCTTGTTGCATAGTCCCATGGCACCCGTGGGACTATGGCTGGAGACACTTGACTGCTTCAGATGACTTGCTGGTGATTGACAGGGAAGGCCTACCTGTGTTGCAGATGATCAGTGCAGAAGCCCCTGTGCTGTTTGCCAAGGCAGCCCAGATTTTTATCACAGAATTGACTCTTCGAGCCTGGATCCACACAGAGGATAACAAGCGTCGGACTTTACAGGTAATACTGCAGACTTAGACTGGGAAACGGGGGCAAGCAGCTGCCTTTGCCTGCTTCTCTCACATGGCTTTGGACCAGAGATTTTCTTCCTTAGGCCTCTGTGAAACTGATGTGTAATCGGCATCTTCCTCCACTGTTGAGAGGCAGACATATCTTTCAGCCATGGCAATGGTGTTTCCTTGAGCCAAGAAGCTTAATTTTCAATCCTCGCATGGGTTTCACAGCTCAGTGACTGAACTCTTTACTTGGTGAACTCTACTGTAAACAGAGGCTCAAGTGATGGAGCATTTAGCTTCCTAGAAGTAAACGACTTCTGGTTGGGAGCCTTGAGAGATTCCAGGGAAGAATAATCTCAGGACGAATTAGCAGTCTCATTAACTTCATTAACTTTTTTGTTCTTTGTCTGCCTTCCTGAGGATCTTTCCTTTTTGTTTGTTTGTTTGTTTGTTTGTTTAAATTTCAGTCCAGCAAATCAGTGTTTGTGTTGTGTGTAGAACCCTTCCTTTTTGCTCCTAGAACCCTCCCCTCAATAGGCTCTACCTATCTCTTCAAGGAAAGCTTTCCCAGGTGTAAGAGGGAGGATGTCACAGACACAAAGCATTGCCAATATCTTAAGGTGAAAAAAACAACTTACGGTTTCTCTTCTTTCCTTTTGCCTACAGAATTGCAAATGCATGTGTTTATTCATGTAGTCTACACATATTTATTGAACACCACAATGTGCCAGGCACTGTTCTAGACTCTGGGGATTTAAAACAGTATACAAAACAGACAAAAATTAGGTCAGTGGATCTAGGAAGATCCATTTAACGCTATTTTCAAGATCAATTCAGATTAAAAAATAAAATGAGTGACACTCTCGAACAGCCTTTCAAAACAGAAGACATCCAGAAGACCAGTAAGCCTATGAAAAGGTATGCAATATCATTAGTCATCAGAAATACAAATTAAAACCACAGTCGGATACTGCTTGTATTTTGTTGTTGTTCTGTTTTATTGCCAGAGGGCACATGCACTTCCAGAGAGAGCTCACCGACCCAAGAGATGCTGGTTTATTCTCACTAGAATAGCTAAAATAAAGACTGACAAGCCACTAGGCTAGGGGAGCTTGGTTACACC